GGTAAATAAACACGAAATGTACCAAAGTCTTAATGCTTCTCTATACTCTATTTCGCCTATAATATACCTGTAAATGCCGGTCTAATGCTCATCTGCAACACACAAGTACACCGCACGCCCGCCCTGTGCTGCGTGCACAAACAACATGAATAAGAGAGTTATGTTGTTCATATGTTGTTCTCTCTTATTCATGTTGTTTGTGCACGCAGCACAGGGCTAGCGTGCGGTGTACTTGTGTGTTGCAGTTGAGCATTAGACCGGCATTTACAGGTGATTATAGGCGAAATAGAGTATAGAGAAGCATTAAGACTTTGGTACATTTCGTGTTTATTTACCATTGTTTTTTAGCTCACCTTGACATCGTCAAGTTGAGCTATTGCCATGGGTCGCCGTCCGTCGTACGTCCGTCCGTCCGTCCGTCAACAATTTGGTTTCGGTCAACGATAACTCAGGAACCGTTTGACCCACATGTTTGAAATTGGGGGTAGTTGTTACTGCTATGCTCCCATATGGAACGTCCTATTTTGAAGCACGCCAGTCGACGTACTTTCGAGCCACGGCAATTTTTTGGCAAAAATGGGAATTGCCATTAGTCAGTTCAGGTTCAACGGATTTTGCTCATTTTTGGTATGTGAATGAATAAGGGCTAGGGGTTTTGATATTTAAAAAAAATTATGCAAATTAGGTAGGGTTTGGCAATTATATAGCATATTATATAAACACAAACAGTCTGTGGTGTCACACTCGTCTGGTTCGTTTTACAAGATTTCATTGACAATATCTTTAATGCAAAATTGGTATTTCCTCTCCACTCTGCGATAAAACGTCTATATTAGAGTAAAGATTTACAAAACATGTCGGAACGCAGCATAACCTATTTATTTCAAGCGCCATCGCTACAAAGCGGGTATAGCGCCATCTACGGTCACAAATTGTGATTCATTTTGGTTTATAAATTATTATTGCGATATACAAATGGCAATCGTTTCTATAATGTACGTCGATGGTTGCTCAATTAAGAATGACTTCTTCTTACTCACTCATTTGTGTCCTTTTTTGGTGATCGAGCAGTGTCATTGACACTCATTTTTATTGAGACGTTCCAAGTGCCTGTGCCCCCTTACTTGTAACACCCCTGTCACAGGGCCTACCCCCACATTTACGAAAATGACATAGGTCTCAATCTGGACATCATCTCTATCCTTGAACCCCTGCTATTACGTGAACATGTCATGATGTCCTATATGTACTCTCTACGCTACTGTACAATACTGTGTAGGCCTACATCAACTAGACCAATAAATTGTGCCCAAAATTTTTTTTATATTTTGGTGTTATTTTAGGTGTTATTTTAGCCCTAAAATAACACCAGAATTTTTAGGGCACAATTTATTGGTCTATACATCAACATGCGCAAAACCATGGCAAAACTTACATCGGTCTCTACATCAACATCCCTGTCATCGTCGTCGCTCATGTTTGGTGGGGCGAGTTTATACACGTATAGCTCCGAATTTCCTAGTAATCATCGTGGTGTAGAAAACAAGAAAATTAAAAATATCACTAGTAACTCAGTACTCTCGGAATGGGTACTTGACATAGACTGGTACCCGTTCGCCACCTTCACTCCGGCAAGTATCCTTCGCTCTGGCTACACTGACGTTAGTGTAGCGTGTGGAACTATCGACCGGGTACCAGTCTATACTTGACATTGCTTTTCCTTGGCTTTCCGTATTTATCCCAGGCAGTGATCCCAGGCGATTCGCCCACTCGCCACAGCTGGTTGAAAACTAATGTGCCGCCATCTCGCGATCAAATAAGTGAAATCTTCACTGAAATTCATCTCTCTGGCCTTCTGTGGGAAATCGGATAGACAAAAACGAACACAACATGGACCAATTAAGTAGGCTCTACCCTATATCTAATAAAGTATATAAGTTATATTTATATACTTTATACTACTCTATATAGAGGGTCACAGGCACTTGGAACGTTTCAATAAAAAAAATATGGTAAATAAACACGAAATGTATTTTCTACCAAATGTAGCCGTATATAGTCAGGCTCAAGGGGTTGTTGTCGTATCATGTACTATAGATATGTACCCGATGTACATATATCATATGTATACACAAAGTATACTAGACTTGTACTACAGAAGTGTACCCTAACCCTAACACTAACCCTAACTCTAACCCTAAACATACCTCATATAAAAATATAAACATAATACTAAACAACCTAAAACTACATCGGGTACATATCTGTAGTACCTGTTACGACAACGACCCTTCGTGCGACACTGTGACTGAACAGTCTAGACTTTATTATACTATGTAAACCAACATAAACGGTGAAAAATACACAATACAATAATATTGAAATCCGCTGTTTTTACATTATGACGATTGTGAAATGACGAAATTTGTTATTATGTTATCATCGTTATTTCTTACCGGTAACAAAATGATCACCGCACACTTTAGCATGGATGGAGGGG